CTCTTATAAATGTGAGATATCTTGTCAAGTATGGTCTATGGGAAGTGGGAGCAATGGCGATGAATGGACGGCAATTAATCGGCTGCTTATCGGAAGAGGCCTGGAACAATTTCGTTATAAAGTCCGAAAAACCGGTATTCCCGCACTGTCTTTACTTTCTATCAATTTGTTGTTAGTTGTTGTTGTTAATAGGAGCTGCGGCTACATAGTTCATCCTTATATATCCATGCCTCCAAAACCCTGGTGTTACCGCTCGCTATTCATGGTTTTAAAATCAATGTTTCGAAAGACTAAGGTGCCGTTTGATAAGTTTGTCTTGAAAGATCTGAAAGCCAAAAGACAGTGTGGGCTTTGACATAAAAATCTTGGTAGCCCATAGATTATTTGGTTGGAGGTGTCTTCTGCACAAAGACGAGAAATTTCATTTCTAGCTTCCTGAAATAAGTTCGAATCAAACTTTTTGTGTCTTTTGGAAGCTAGATTTTCCCCTAATCAAATGAGAAAAGATGAAAATGCGGACTACCGAGCTTTTAAACAACCAACAGCCTGAGTAGAAAGATGCTCCAAAGAGGCTTAACTTGTTCACAAGTTATTGGCTAAAAACTTAACACGTAAATAATTAATTTTGAACACTGATGAAGAACACATGTGGTCTAGGGGTGTTAATGGATTGGTTTTGGATTAGACCACATCCAAACCAAAATCAATGATTTTGATAGGTTGGATGAACTAACAAGACAAAATGTTTTAAAAAACGACCCGGAAATGAAACCGTTCTGGCCATCAGTTTCTGGGTTGATGGTTTGACCATCCGATTCAGATGAACGACTCGTTCTGACAACAAAATTAAAAAATAAAAACCGTTGAACAGGTCAATGGGTTGACGGTTCGACCGTTTGGGTCAAAGGTTTGTTAATTTTTTCAACGGTTTTTGATCAAATAACGGGTTTGGGGTAAAACGGAACCGGTTCCCAACCCAAAAGGTTTGACTGTTCGGGTCAATGGCAGTTTAAAAACGTTGGATATATTGAATCGGACTAATCCAGAATTAATGATTCAAAATACTTATTGGATTGGATTGAATCTGGTTCATCAGCAATGAATTTATATTGAAATAGATTGGATTGAGCCAATATTTGATCCATTATTAAAAGATAAGAAGATAGGTGCCAATAAACCACTAGGTTAGAATTAATCTACATTAAAACAAATTTAAACAAATTGAACAGTCCAAACATTAAATTAGACAATCCAAAATATTCATTAGATTATATTAGAGTTACATTGTACTAGATCGGATTGGATCAAACAGATAACAATTGACACACCTAAATTATTGAGGTCTCCCATGCACGATGCATCCTATATCTTTAGAAAAAACTCAAAACATTTCTAATTTTCATTGTGGCTGGCTTTTTCCTGATGGGTAATTAATTGGTACAGGTGATTGCCTTTTTCACTGCTTCCTGGTTCGCACCGGCACGCGATTTTTTACCGACTGTTTTAGATCAGGCCAAGAAAAGACCCAATGTATTGTTTCTCAAGGTGGACGTTGATGCCTTGAAGGTGAGACACTATCATTTCATTTTATTTTATTTGAAGTCTGAAAAATATAAGATAAAATCTATCTTTTCTCAACACCTTATCTCTATGTTCATAAAATTCAAAAAGAAATAAATTAGGGCCGCTACTAAGATATATCATATATTACTCTTAGTTTTGTTCTTTTAAAAGTGTTAAAGCTTTATTGTCTTTAAATAATTTAACCTATACATTAGTTTAAGTTATTTAAAACCCAACTTTAATATACTTTTTTGTTTCTTTCTTTTGAATTCATTATATTTCATATTATGGAATTAGTTCTTTTGGGGATTCAGAGTACAGCCTATCGTTTCATAATGTTGATATTTTTGTACAAGAAACAAGTAATATATGAAAAAATATATATTTCTAATAAATAATAAAATATCCTTGTACAGTGATTATTAGTTATTAGAGATTCTGATGTGTGTTTGACAAATTAGTATATCGTTTGTTGTTTTTTATTGGTAGTAATATCAACATTGGGACTATCTCTGAAACCTTAAACCACTAAGGCTGTGTTTGGTTTGAAAGTAAAGGTAGTAAAACCTATAAAAACTCCCTATCTTTTCTTTCAAGCCAAACGCAACCTAAAGGAGGAAATATAAAGATTTTTTTCTCTGATCCATGTTAGGCATAAAAGTTCTTTTCTACTGTATGGCTTAGGAATCATCTTAAACACACTTGTGTGAATTGGGTGGGGAGATCTTGATGAGTAATGGCACTATATAATTATTTTTTAATCATTACTAAAACTTGTTATTTTCAGTCTGTTGCTTCACAGATGGAGGTGAAGATATATCCTACAATCGTGTTAATGGAAGATGGGAAGCAAAAGAAAAAGGTTGAGGGTCCGAATAAAGAAGGGTTGATTAACATAATAACGGAATCCGGCAGGTCCACATGTGTTCCACCATTTCTTAACTCGACGCAAAAGAAATGGGTTGGGGATCCGAAGAAAAAAAATACGGAAAAGTACCAATACACACGATGCAGAATTCTGAATTCCGGTCCCCCCTACAACTAGCCCTCTCCCCCCCCCCCTGCCCTATAAACCACTGCCCGTGAATTTGGTATCAATTCATGGTCAGGATGCATTCTCTCTGTACTTTGGGCCTAATAAATTCTATCAATAGCGTATTCCATCAAAATTAGTATCATTATCTCCTTACTTCTAGGAGATAATTAACTGTACATATCTTATCTCCTTATCTCTCATTTCTTTCCTTCTTGTATTCTACTTTAGGTTGCCGACCTACTTTCCTGAGTGTATCTCGCTCTATTATAAATAGAACTGTAACCTATTGAATTGAATATATAGAGAAATTATTATCTTCTCCATTTGTCTTTCTTGATTTCGTATCACATAAATCTCTACTGTTGTAAATAATATTGTACTCTCAATGTAACAGTGTATATACTATCAAAAAATAAAAAAAAAATCAAACACGCCAAATTTCCCATTCAAAACTGAGTTCGTTTTATGGTATCGAATAAATTTCGACTCACGTCTTCGTCGATGGTTGCCAACCCCAGCTCGTTCATTACCAGATTGTTTAATTAATTTGTTGTGCGCTCAAAGTTCTGCCTTGCGCTATCAGCCTATCATTAATAGTAAAATACTTAAACTATCCATATCTTTTAATAAGTTCATTAAGGCCCTCTTCGTTTTTCGAGAAGTTATTTATTTGGGCAAATGCAGTTATTTGGATAAGAAAAACACTTATCCGGATAAATACATTTATCCATATTCTTTAATTTCTCATGTAAAAAAGATAATGACAATTTTAGTCACAAAAATCCATTATTAAGAGGGGCATTTTTGTCCCATTCAAGTATTGACAACTTCCCTTTAGGTGGGAAAGTTATTTACCCACCTAAGAGATGGGTATCATTTAGGGGGGTTCTTTTTTCTGGATTTTGAGAGGGGGAAAATTGGTCAATGGGATTTTGATTCCTATTGACCAAGAATCCCATGTTCTTTTTTCATATTTATGTGGAGATTAGGGAAAGTTTATTTTGTTGGGTATCGCTTATCCCATCTCTTAGGTGCATAAATAACTTTTTCACTTTGGGAGAAAGTTGCCGACACTTGAATGAGACAAAAATGCTCCTTGTAATAATAGATTTTTTTTGATTAAAACGGTCATTGCATTATTTACATGGGAAATAAAAGAACATGGGTAAATGCACTTACCTGGGTAAGTCTTTCCCAGGAAACACTTACCTAGGTAAGTGCGTTTACCTGGGTAAGTAACTTAACAAAAAACAAATTGGGCCTTAAATAAACTTCCCTAGATCCCCACATAAATCTGAAAAAGGAACATGAGATTCTTGGTCAATGATGATCAAAATCCCATTGACCAACTGAGACAGAATTAGCCCCCCCACAATGTCCCACAACACATCCCCACCGTGTATTGGGAACATCTCCCGATGATGACATCATCATTCTGGATATTATCATTGGGAGATGTTCCTAATACACAACGTGAATGTGCTGTGGGACATTGTGGGGGGCAGTCTTGTGATTGGCTGATTTGAACTCTGACCAACTTCCCCCCTCTCAAAATCCAAAAAAAGAACATCCCCCTAAAACTTATCTTATGATTTGAAAAATCACTGAAATTATTTTTAGGGTTTTTCATAATTAACAAAAACTTTTCTTAACCTTTCGTGCATTGTTACAATTTATGTGATGTCATGTGACTTATATTATGTTTTAATTATAAAATTATCCTTTCGATTTTGTCCATCAGTATTCTTCAAATTTTTCAAAACAAAATCCAGTGACAGTTCCTCTTCTTTTGCCTCCAAATCTTCATTTTAGTTCAAGATAGCAGTTAAAATTCATCTGCAATGCTTGAAACCACCAATAATCATCAGAATCAATAATGCTTCCTTAAAGACATCAATGGTCCGGGTTCAGAGCTAATTACCTCCTGAATCTATCAATTTCTAGCCTGGAAACCAGAGAAATGTCTAGCGAATATATAGAGTTTATTTTGAGATAGCAAAATATTGTTTTTGATTTCTTTTGGAGGACTACAGTAGCCCATCCCCCAACATGGTTCGGTTCTGTGTCGTTTTATAAAACATTGCTCTCTAATACTTCTTGAGGTCTCATATGGGTGCTGGTCTCTCTCTCTTGAGGTCTCATGGGCCTACCAACTGGCTTAACAGATTTCTTCAATGTGGTGGGGACAATCTCTGATGGTAGATTGACGTAAGTTCGGCGGAACCGTGGAACTCAATCCATTAATGGTGAGGTACTAGTAGTAGTGCATCTAAGCAAAGGTCTCATGCACAACTCCTTTGATTTAAAGCTGAGCATCAACCTTACTACTTGCAAATTTGACATACGATTTCGGGTGCTTCATCCAATTAAAGCCTTTCAAGTATAGCAATTCGTTTGTATGTCACGACTCTATATTGTTCATCAATTTCTTCTCTATTTTCAGAGTCGGGGCCTGATTCTTAGCCTGACCACCCAGGGTCCTCTTGGGCTTCACATCTGACATTGATAACACATCTGTATGGAATAGGCATGACTTCGCTGTGATCAGACTGAAATTGTAGAACAGAACCAGGTTAAAAACCACAAGGATCCAGCGACAAAACAACAGGGACGTGCCGTGAGAAGTTTGTGGCAGAGAAAGCTTCAATCTCACTGGTCTGAACACGTTGATGATGATGACGATGAGAACGGAAATTGATAAACAATACATGGAAAGCTTCAATGTGCATATAGCTTTCGGGTTTTGATCCATTTTTAACTCATTTAAGCATCTTTTATTGTTATTTTTTTTTTTTTATATTTGCAAATTTTTCTATTACTTTTGTGCCTTTTATTTTACTCTGAAAATGGCATAACTTTTTTATTCTTCTTGTACCTCGTTTCTTTTGTTTTCTTTCTTGCTCAGAAGGGCAAACGGGCAAAATATAATTTAAAAATTCTAAATGAAGTATTTTATTGATGGAGGGTATGTTTAAGTCTAGTGGGATTAATCCACCTCAAAGAAGCATTCAACCTAAAAGCTTAGGCTGTTAAGTAAGGTCGTTGAATAAATGCCCCCTAATACGAAAGCCCATTGGGCTTGAAGCATGGACAGCACAGATCCACCCATACCTTGTGTTGAAACTTAATTAATTATACTGGGAGTGAAGAGAATCGAACACTAAACCACTTGGTCAAAACGGCTTTGATACCATCTCAAAGAATCATTCAACCTAAAAACTTAAGCTTTTAAGTGAGGTCCTTGAATATGTTCTATTCTCTAACAATCCACAAGGTATGTTTAAGTCTATTTGAAAACTCGGGGTACATTTAAGTCAATTTATAAAAATTCAGAGCATGTTTAAGTATTTTACCCTTATTTTTCTTTAAAAAAATATGAAATAGACCCAAACCTTCTCGATCCATTTTTTCTCAAACTCTACATCTTCTACTCCTATGTAGGGGTGCAAGTCGGGTGGGTTGGGCTGGGTTTATGGTCAACCTGGGTCCGACCCTACAATTTGGGTTTAAGGCCCGAGCCTGGACTGAACTTGAGAACAAGCACGATTTTCCTAACCCGAGCCCGGCCCGCAGTGTAATTTGATGCACTTGGGTTGGATTTGGTTCCAGGCCAGGCTCGGGTTGGTCAATGAATATATATATAGGTTCGGGCCGGGCCCAGGCTACCACCCAACTTTTTATGCCCGAGCCCAGTCCAAGGACCGAAAATCCAAACCCAACCCAAGTAAAATTTCGGACTGGGCAGGTTCGGGCTCGGGTTGAGCCCGCCCAAATTGCACCCCTACTCCTATCTCATTTTCTTTTTTAACCCCCCCAATAAAAAAAAAAGAAAATTTTTGGCTCTGCCATTGGGTCACCACGCCATTCGTTGATTTATTTGTAGTTGATGTACAATCATCCACTATATTAGCAAATGTTTCTTGTAAGACTTCTAAGGATTGTAGATCCAACAATAACTCCAATAATGTCAATGAGTGTTTTTAAAAGTAGCAACCATGACAACTATCGAGGTGGCAATAATTCTCTTTGGGTTTTTGGCTGATTTATTATATAGTTGTACACATGCACCCTTTTGAGTTTGAAAGAGTAGCTAGCTTTTTGTTTTCCCTCATGTTTACTTTGTGTTATATTAGAAAATTAAAAGGCTTCTTCACAGCTTTTTAGCAGGAATAACTTGTTTACACTACTCTTTAAAAGCATGATGTATGTATGTATATCCTTCAATGCAAAAAAAACAAAAAAAAAAGAATTAGAAGTAGTGTTTGTTCCCTTCAAAGATCGTCTAAAACAAACATTTAATAGTTCTTTATCCAACATGCATATAAACTGTTTAATTAGTATTAGACACTACTTGTTATTTCTGGCCAGAATGTGTTACCTAACAAGTGAATAAAGAGGGGTAATTGCAATAAAAGAAACAAGAAAGCTGGAATAAAAGCAAGCACACATAAAAAAACGATGATGTTCAGCTGCGGCAGGGGTCCGTCCTTTGTCGTAATATACATGGCCGAGAAGAAGGCTGCCATCATGGCCACTATAGAGATGAATAGCGAAAAGAGTCCAAAGATCAACTTATTCGGCAGCGACTCAAGGAAATCCTCTTCTTTATAGCGTGAAGTAAGGATGGCCAAGAACAGTAGAACTGAAGTGGACGATGAAAAAAGTGCTACCGCATCTGAGAAGATGAACGACATGAAGGCAGTATGTCGACTGAAGAATGGGATGCCATTATCCTCCCCACCTGGTACTGTGAAGGCCGCTTGATACACAACTGTGGCGATAAGAGTAGCTACAATCAAACATGATTTTGCTGTACTTCTCATCCATTTCTCCCCCGCTATAACCAATTCCTTATGATTCTCCGTGAATAACAATCGAGGCGTTTGACCATCATTGTTAGGGAAGTTCTCGTAGTCTCGTGGCATAATAGATTTCACTGCCTGCTATGTATGTCAATGTCATAACAGCGTCAAATAATAGAGTAGTAGGCCCACTTTTTAAAGGCTTGGTCTATGGTTATTCTAGCCTGGCCCATGTAAGGCTGTGCAGAATAAAATTGTTGACCTAGAACCATCTCGGTTAATTAGTAATCGGGATCACCGGGTCTAACCTGATCATAGACCCAATTATACTAGAAGTTATAATAATTTAAAATTTGATTTTTGATAATGCAACCTTAATAAAAATGACAGTAAAGTAGAAACTTGTTCATATGGTTATAAATCAAGTGTTTTTAACTAAAATTTTCTTATATTATCTCTATCAAGAAAATAATTGTTTTCGGTTTGAATTAATGTGGAACAAAACCTGCATCCGACCCTGCAACCCATGGCGTGGTGGCATTGATGGACTGCTACCAGAGGTAAGCTGGGATTTCGGAAACTCCTCCATCTATACTGGAGGCCAATGCAAGATTGGAGCTGCAAAGATGGACTCTTCCCCGCAGCCCTTAGTATTCTTGACTGCACACCCCTTGTGTTTTGACCAGGTGGCCCTAGTCTAGCAAACGGTGAATCTGACCCTTATGACTTTTGCAGTCAGGGCCTTGGGGATCTCGTATGCTGCCTCAAGGTCCCCCCCCCCCATTTCAGGTTTTCTTCTACAACTTCCGTGAAACCCCACTATTTCGGCAGTTCCAATGACTTTTGCAGTCAGATTTTCTTCTATAACTTCATTATTTCGGCAGTTACAGCGGTTCCAATGGTTACAATAAAAAAAATGAGGAGAGGTAGAGATCCAGTGGAGGGTAAATTAGTCTTTTACACATATATGCATTAACACGAAGGATTAGTCAATTATCAAAAACAGTAGGATAGCATCAGTAAATTTTCAAACAGTAAGGATACATTTAATCAATTAGCTAAACCATAAGAGTAATTTAAGAAATTTACCCTTGATTAATTTATTTCTATTGTTGTTTTTATTACTATTATTATTTGATTATTGGTCTGTTTTTCTTTTTTAAGAAGAAAGGAGATGGACGAGGGGGGAGAGAGAAGAAAAGAAATAAAGAAAATAATATATTTAAAAATTTTAAAAATTAAGAGTATTAACTAGTTTCTCAAATTTATATGATACATATGATTAGTTAAACCTTTATATAATTAATTAACCTTTTATTTTAATAATTAGAATAAAAATTAATAAAAAGCGTTGGGAAAAAAGAAATCACCTCAAACCACTGAAGCTCACTTTGCACCTGGAGAGCTGCACCTCTGACTTGATTCTTCAAGATGATGTTTGTTGGTTCCCATTTCCCAACAAAATGTAACATGCAGTTTTTGGAGTTGTCAGCTAAAATTGAGAGGTCATTTTTGAGAGGACCAATCTTGTGGATGAGATTGAATATCTTTACTTGGCGGTGCGTAATTGCAACATGGAATATGCTTTGTCCAGATCCAACGGAGCAGATGGATATTAGTTTGGGATGAGGGATAATCTCAGAAATAAATTCAACAATACCAGATTTGGTAGCGTCAAAAATTGCTGAATGCAATCCAAGTTTTTCGATCGACGTATTATCTTGTGAAACTTGGACAAGTATGTTCTGCAGTAGCTCCAGTGCTCTTTTATGAGTAAGCTTTGTGTGGTATATTTTCTTCAAGGGCGAGATTAACCGATTCAGAATTTTCTGCAGTAGTTTCCATAATTTTAGCAGCTTCAGTAGTAGTATTTGATTAACTGTATGGTATATTTGACTGCCAAAAGTATCAATTCGAGATGTATCTTCCAGATTCTCAATGTCACCATTGTTGTTGATTGCACGAGATTCCACGGGGTTACCTGCTGCAGGTTTTCTAGATTTAAATTCTGCTTGAAAGATCTGGCATGTAAGAGTTTTACTGTAGGTGGTATGCAGAATATGATAGGGTTTATTTGTTTTTTTTGGAATTTGAGAAGAAAAAGTTGGTCAAAATTGTCCTTTTTAATAAAGATTTTTTATGATTAAAATGATTATTATCTTCTTTACCTCAAAAACAAAACAACATGGGTAAATAATTTTCCAAAAATCAATGGGCTCTAGTGTTTAATTTTCCATAAAACTCTAGTAAGAGATATATTGTGAAGCGGTATTGTTTATTAGAGACAGTACTCTACATTTCTTGATGGGATAGGAGTGAGAAAGGTTTATATAAGAAATCCGTCTCTTAGTCATACATCTTGCCATAACTATTGGAGTGTGATGAACTGATTCTGGTTTCATAAAACTGCCCAGGTCACTAAATGAATGGAAATTTCAAAATAATAATAGCAAGAGTTGAACTCATGACCTTTTATTTATGTGTATAGTCTTGTTACGATTAATGCATTTTTTTATTTATGTTTATTATTCTTCTTTATTGTATATATATTTTAAAGAACATGTGAGTTGAGATGCTTAAACATTCTTCATTATCTTTAAAAATTAAGAAATTAGCCATCTATCAACCAATTCAAACGTGATATCATTTGTAAAATAATACATAGTATTTATGTAACTCACAATATACATCATCATGGTGCAACGTCTATTGAACCTCTGACCCATGAATACGGATGTAATCGAGTCGAACCAAACTTTGGCAATATATACTACTAGGTTCAAGTTCAAGCTCGAGTTCTATTAGAACTATATTTTCCAATTCAACCTCAGTTTGATTAAATATTCGAGGAGCTTGAGTTCAGCTCACAATCTCAAAAGTGAATATATTTTTATATTACATATATGGTATATTTTTTATAATATATAGTACATTCTTATATTATATATAGAAAACGAAAATATGTTTTACATAAAATATATTATACAATAATTTTTATATTCTACAATATATATGTATTTATGTATGTATATATGTGTTAACCAAGTCAAGATCACAAGCTTCCGAGTCGAACTTTTTATTGCCCAAGCTCAAGCTCATAAAACTAATCGATCTTACTCTGAGGTTCGAACTCAAGCCCAAACTATTTGATTAGAGCTTGATTTGATTGTAGCCTGATTAGTGAATCTCTACCTTTTCTAGTAGTATGTCCGATTTTGTTCTTTGAACACCGCTGAAATCCCAGGATTTTGGTAGTTTGGGGGAAATGCAATTATGGGGACCTAAGTCACCTTATATACTCATAGGTATTTTAGATATTAATATTAAATCTAAGGGTATTTTAATAATTTACCACTAGGTTTAAGGAATTATAGTCGGACCTCTTCCTTGCCTTTTCCCCAATTTGGGGGAAAAAATCCTATTCCCAACCTGTCCCATTTTAGATCAAGGAAAGCACGCCTCATTATTTAAGGCGGGGTGGACTGGAGCCCCAGTTTTATGGGGCAATTTTCCACCCTGACCAAATAATTGTTTTATTTCAAGTCATTTTTAATCACGTAATTTTTGTGTTGTGAATGTTTTTAGACGCATTTTTAATTAATAGAATTTAATGATGAAAAATAAAAATACCTCATTTAATGAGAAAGAATATGAGTTATAATATCTCAACTTAAACGAGAGGGGATTGATTGAAGTGAAAGAGGTTGTTCAAATAAGTAAACGGATCAAATTCAGTAAAAGAGATATCTTACCTATCAAAACATTCAATTGTAGAGATATTTTAGTAAAAAAAAATCCAAAATTGAAACCTCATTTCCCCTTTTAATAGTAGTATAAATAAATTTAGTAATTAAAAATGTTTATTGTTGGGTTTTGGAAAATTTAAAAGTAGGAATAATGAATAAACAATAATTAATATATCACATCTGGAGAGAAATGCCCCTTGACCGTTAGTTGCCTTCTATCTCAATATTTTCATTCTTGTACATGCCTGTATTAAATTTCATGGGGTTTCCTGCGTGAGTGCATGATAACCCGAGCTATCATAGAATTTAAGGCCATGTTTGGGAGTGCTTAAAAATAAGTGTTTATTTGGATTAGGACCACACCACTAAGCATTTATTGATGTTTCGGAAATAAGCCCGAAATCAATGCTTATTTTAAAAATAAGGGCATATTTTTTAAGCCTAAATTTCCAGCTTTTCTTAAGTATTTATACAATAAGCAATTATTCAATTTTTTTCTTCCAAAATTATCCCTAATTGAATTTTAAAATACCACTTATAAAATTATCCCTAGTTGAAGCACTTTTATAAAATTACTTTTACGAAAACTATTGTATAAAAGTATTTGTGTAAAAGAATTTTTATGAAATCATTTTAAAAAAATTACATTTATAAAATTACTTTCATAAAAGTTCTTTTATTAAAGTACTTTAATAAAAGTACTTTTATAAAAGTGCTTTCGTAAAAGTACTTTTAAAGTACTTATAGCCTCTATAACAATTGAAAGCTGACCAGGTATTTAATGATCCAACCAGTTTTCAGCAATCTGCCTAAGTCATTAAATTGTCATAAACTTTAAAAGGAGAGTGAAACTTGTAGCCTTTTCCATATGTATAATGTATAATGTCATATTAACATTTGTTTATCATGTTTTTGTATTTCTCTCTTTCTCTCTCTTGTTAAAATATGAATTAAAAACTTTTTAGCTACTAGCTTAAAAGGTGACTGGCTAGCTGTATCTCTTCTCCACTGGGTTAAAAAAAAAGGCTGAATCTGCTACCGTTGCAAAGGGCTCCTATATATATCCCTTAACTTTCATTTGCGAAAAAACTCCCTTGAAATTTTATACTTTGTGATAGATACTCTGTGCGTGGTTGTTAAGTTAGATGCGGAATGCATTAAATTACTAAAATACCCACTTAAGTTTTCTATATTTTCTTTTCCTTGCCTTTTTCTCTTAAACTCTAATTGACCAAAAATTCATCGATTTTCTCCAAAAAAAATCAGCTAAAATAATAAGAATCATTTCATTGGAATAGAAGAAAAAGGTTTTTTTTTTTTATTTCTTAATTCATTTCATTGACATGACCGTCTCTCTTCATCTAAAAATATAAAAATTATTCACTTTTCTTCAATAAATGAATAAAAACCAAATGAAACCATAAATTTATATCTATTAGAAATGCATCTAAATGTACATGCATGCGGGGGGAGAGAGAGAGACCTTGAGCATTGCTTGCTTCAATTGTATTCCCACGGCCGTTGTACTCATAAGGTCTAATTGGAAAACCTTGAAAATGATCATCAAATACTTTAGTTTCCCTTCAAAAAGAAAAATTAGTGCATATCCAGCATTATAAGTTTTCTCTTAAGCATGCCATCTTTCCGAAATTATTATCTGATTGCAAAGCAGAATATATAGTTTCTATTAATTTATAAGACATTGTATATGGTACGTAGAATGATCTATTAATTGTGCTGAAAATTGCATTGCTTAAAATAGTTTTCTTGGCTGAAACAATGCTGAATTAAAGATTCTAATATAAAAGTATAAAATTAAAATCAAAACATGATAAGCGGTTGCTTATTTCTAATATTTGGCTGTTAGCCATAACCAATAAGCATTTGAGCTTTACCGAGACAAAAAGCAAAGTATTGGAGGAATATAATCCTCAAAAGCTTGTGTAATCACTGTAGATTCCTGGTAATCGGTAAGTCTTCGAAAGTCCGGAGATGGCGGCCGAAATGAGAAGAGGTGGAGAAGATAAGAAAAAGAGAGAAAAGGGAGAGAGAAAAAGAAACCTCTTGAGAAACCCTAGAGGTAAGAGTAATGATTGTGTTGTCCCCCCTTGGGGATAGAATTGCTCTCCCCTTTTATAAAGAGGGTTAAGGCCATCAGGAAAGGAGTTTTGAATTCTCTCTGTATGTGACCCTATTGTACTGACGTGGTGTGGGTGACATTATCGTTTGGTGAGCGTACTTTCATTAAACTCGTATGCGTAACTTAAAGATGTTTGTGTAACCGATATCTATTCTCATTCTACTGTGATTCTGCAGTTCTGTGATGGTGTCAGGTTCATCGTAGTTTTATGCATGTTCGGTTTTATCGATAATCCGTGTGTATTCGAGATTCATCGCAAACCCGCATGTGTCTTAACTTTATCGTAGATTCGTGCTAGCCAAAGTTCATTGCGACCTGTCACGGATATGAGTTCATCACAATCGCGAATTTGTGATGAACTCATCGCAATCGTGCAATGGGTTCTGAATTCATCGTAGGCGTCCGTGTAGTGCTGGTTTGACACCTTTTGTACTCTGAGGGTCCTAGTGACCATTATGTACTTACAGTTTGACTACATAGCTGCAAATAACTTGGTTGAATGGAAACAACCCGGGCAATAAGAGATACCTGAGAAAAAAGACAAATAAAACTATTCAAACCAAAGAAACACCCAAGCCCCCCCTCCCAAAAAAAATAAAAAACTAAAGTAAGACCATTGTACCCAACGATGAACATAGTTGACTTTGAGACTCTTTCCTCTCCCTCTAAGGATCTGTTTATTTATTTTGGATTTTGCGGGGAGGGGGGGTTGATTAATAGGATTTTGATTCTCATTGACCATGACAATCAAGACATTCATGTTTTTTTTTTCAGATTTATATGGGAACCAAGAGAAATTTATTTTCCTAGGTAATTACTCACTTAAGGAAAAATTGTCAGTACTTGGATGAGATAAAATTACCCTTTTTAATAATTATTTTTATGGCTATAATGGCCATTATCCTTTTTATCTGAGAAATAAAAAAAAAACATGGATAAATAACTTACCGGAAAGAGAATGAGGTCTCAATTTATCACCATAGTTCCAAAAGTTATCAAACTCGGACAAAACTTTGATGGCGATGACATGTGAAAAACAAACAAGAGCAGAGATAATAATGATATTCTCTACTGTGGTGGTTAGCAAACAAATCTAATGAGGGTCTCATTTAGGTTAGGAGTTGCAGCGAGAAGGAAGAATAAAGAACAGGAATGAAAAGAGAATAGGTCTTGTGGTTTTTGGTTGGTGAGAATTAAAATCGACCTTTAATAATTAACACCTATGCCAAAACTAGATTTGGAGTGCATCAAGAGTTCGTAGGCTTAATTTAATTTACATGGGCAATTTTGTTTTTCATTTTTTATTTTTTAAATCTCATTTTATTAAGCCTCAAATCCTCGGTCCTACATAAATCTCATTTTCTTAAGAAAGAGCATCTCATAAGTGATTATTCCCATTCTCAAACAAATGTATCATTCCTTGGATATGTTTATCCACTCAAATAAAACAAAATTATAAGCTCCAAATGTTAATTACATCCACTAAAAATTAAAAAAAAAATAAAAAATTCGTTTGAAATGATATAAGACCTTAAAGTTGGTTATTATTTAGAAAAAAAGGCTTGATTTAATCATTTTAATTTAATAACAAATTTGTGTATATCAAAAACTCAAATAAAATAATAACTTAGATTTACAACATACAAAAAGATGTCAAACAAAATTTATCAAAATACATGAATTAATAGAATTATCAGAATACTGGACCAGCACTTTGTAGAGTGGTCGTTCTCTAGTTATAAGGAAACCTAGGCTTCTAAAATCTAAATTCATTAAAAGGGTAAAAGATTTAAACATAGTCGGAGTTTGCATAAATCGACCTTTAACATACCTTGTATTTTTCAAATAGACGTAAATATTCCTTATAGGCTAACCCCATTAGACTTGAACACACCCTCATTTCTTTTCCTATTTTATAAACCTCTTTTAATATTCTAAAAATCCTATTTTAGCATTTGAAAACAAATGAATCTTTTAAAACAATATACCTTTTATTCTTGCTCAATTTTGTTTACTCAAGTTCTCTTTTGCAACACATGAGGTTTCCCATTTGAATTAATCATGAGTATAAGGAGCTAGCCCACCAAGAAAAAATTTGAATTAAACCGAGATGGAGACCACTGAAGGAAACAACTACTCCCAAAACATGTCTCTATAGGACTCGTTTTCCTGGCGTTTAAGGCAAAAAGCTTATAGATTTGATGTGTTGGAAGGTTTCTTTGCCAAGGAATGGGATCTAAGAGAGGGGAGAGACAAAATTTTGTCAGTACCATGTTGAACTTCCAACGGCATATTTGAATATCTCATTGTTGGCATGTTGGTGGAGCTCTTGTCGTCAAGGTAAACTCACTAGTCCTTGCTTCAAATAATTTCACCCTTGGGATTGCTTCTAGATGACTGAAAACTCAGTAATCACCATCATTTGGGTCATGTTCCCATATTGGGTTTCTCTCCGATTGGTCAATTTGCTCCTTTCTGAGATTCTTAGGGGTGTTCTTTTTCTGGATTTTGAGAGGGGGGGCAGGGGTGGGGGGAAGTTAGCCAATGGGATTTTGATTTCCATTGACCAAGAATCTCATGTTCTTTTTTTCAGATTATGTAGGGATCAGGAAAAATTTATTTTCCTGAGTATCACTTATTGGGATAGGTGATACCCATCTCCTATGTGGGTAAATAACTTTCCCACTTGGGGAAAGTTGCCAACACTTTAACGGGACAAAAATACCCCTTTTAATATAATGGATTTTTATGACTAAAATGGTCAATGCCTTATTTATATGGGAAATAAAAGATCATGGGTAAATGTAGTTACCCGAGTAAGTCTTTATTGGGGAACATTTACCGGGGGTAAGTAACTTAAGTGCATTTACCTGGGTAAATAACTTACCAAAAAGCAAATGGGCCTTAGTGTGGAAAATCTTAACACAATTAGAGGTGAGGAAGAGAGTGGTATTGTGATTGGGGAGCACATTCTCGAGTTTTTGTTGACAATGAATCGCTCTAAGGAGGCTGCTAATCTAGTCTCAAATCTTGTCGTTCATTTCATCAACACACATGTGGATCACATACAAATATGGTGACCAAGCACAAGATCGAGTTGGATTCATTTGGGGCCTGGGTCTCTTCTTTAGTTCTTTTTGAAAATTTGAAGAATGATGGAGGGTAAAAGTCTTTTACAGTGATAAGGTATATTTAAGTCTATTTGAATAACTAAAGACATGTTTAATTAAGAAAATTTAAGATAAAAGAGACTCACATAAGCTTGTGAAGGAGTAAATGACAGCAGAGAACTTTGGTAGTGGACTTCCACTTTCAAATGCCTGGGGCCTTCGAGCTAGCGCATGCAGGGCCGTTTCATTATGTCTATCTTTTGTGGTGGCTAAGCCTGGATAAACATGGAGAAGATCCAAACCCTTATCTATCCAGCAATCCACCCATCCCCCAAACCAGAAAGCGCAGAAGAGAAACAAGAAGGAAAAACAAACGAGAATTATATTCTATGATTGAGGAATAGTAAGAAGTTTGATCAAATATTCTTTCTTACCATAAAGATCAAGAGTGATTAACGTAGTAAGAATTGCAGCCAAATCTGTCCAGGCATCTTTCTCGCCTTTTAAGTGTTCTTCATATTCAGCAAGAGTTGGATCGAAGAGATATATCACCATATCTCTATTCCGGTGCTTTCCCGCCTCGAGTATCGGTATATAATCCTCCTTCTCACTTCGAATCCATGTTATACGTCTACACTCTTCCACCATTGCCTTTGCCATCAGTAGGTTTCCGCCTGACGCAGCAATATGAAGCACAGTTTTGCCGTCTTTATTTTGAGACTCCAGCAGATTATTTAGCGTTTCACTCTCTATGATATAAGTCAACATGCATTTAACAATTTCTTCGTTTCCTGTTTTCGCGGCGATGTGAAGAGAAGTATCCCAATCGACGGTAAGTCTTGATGTCAGCAGATTAATCTGGTTAATGGAAGGATCCACATACCGTTGAAAAAAGTCAAGCACTTCTTCCCATTTACCACTGCAAATAGCTTCGTATAAGGGCAGACACCAGCTGTAATTATTTCTCCAATACCTTCCTGGGTTTGGACCTGAAAACGAAAGATGCATATAAATATAATTTCCAGGTATTCTTCAACCTGAAATGCGCTTTCCGTGTTGCAGAGTTTTTAAACGTTCAAGCTTAACAAAGCCAGCTGCTATGAAAATAAACTAATTCTTCAAACTTAAATAATAAGTTCAATGGAGAAAGATTAACATAAAGACGGGAAAACAGACCATTGAGAATCAGCCAGGTCCGATCTTTGGCTCTAATACCATATTAAATTCTCAGAAAAGGCTACACAGTAATTGTACAGAGTAAGTCCTAAATCAATTGAAGAAATTTAATCAATTGTACATATATATACATCTAATCTAGCTCGATAGATTTAGAAAACTCATCAGATGGACGACATTGCAGAAATTTAATAAATAACGTAAGAGAAAATCATTAATGAAGGGAATTTACCTATCCATCGTGACTTTATTCTTCCACCTTGATCATACATAGAAGCCAATTGAACCCAAGCAGCTCTGGATGAGTCCAAAGCTTCAACATACGGATGGGCCCATGGTCCACACCACCTCTGAATTAGTTCCAGAGCCTCAGCGTCTTCCACACCACCAATAGATTGTCGCTGTGGTTCAGTTTGATCAAGCACGTTTTGTGGGTCAAACGTCAAACGGCCTTGCAAGGGAATCATCATTTCCTCTCTCCATTGCACGTAGTTTTCTTCACTTAGCATAACCATACGGTTTGCATTCGGTACTGCAATACCAGCCATCCTTGCTCTGTGTAGAGATGTTGTTTGGGGAACGCTTTAATTTCTGATGCCGTCCGTCAATAATAACAAAGCTGCAATCGTCGGAAAGACGAAAATGGCCGCTGCGACATATGATATACTTCGTACCCAGGACATAACTAGGTTTCTCTCTCTCTCTCTCTATATATATACATATATATATACACGCGCGCGGGGGTACCTACAATGTTAGAGATGTTGTCTTGCTGGTTGTAATGGAGAAGCTAGACTACGATGTCAGCTTGTAGGTATGTACTCCACTCCAGGTATAAAATACCTACTAAATTCCTAATACAAAAAATTATAGTTTGATTTCAGTATAAAATTGTCTTCCTTGAGGAGGAATTAATATTGTAATTGCTGACTAAATTTTCTGACAATAGCTGAAACCTCTTTCTCATGTTTACTTGTGGCAGAAAACTCTCCCTGATATTTCTTTCACAGTACCATCTACACCCCTTCCGTTATACTTCACCTCAGAAACATATTACAGAGAACATTGAAGAGAGGTGCAAATGGTTTATTGTGTTGTTGATTCACATTTGATTTGTGTTTTAACACTGCCACATTTACACAGTAGGAGACTGAGTTGAATCAGATGAGTAATGTCCTCGTTTAATATTCTAACTAGTTTTCATGACTGAGTAGGGATCCGGTTCGTTGTAAAATCCGCCGGATGGTTATAAGATTAAATCGGTTCATTGTAAAATCTGCCGAATCAATTGGTATAGACCGCCACGTCAGTTTTTAAAACCAATGTAGGCGGCGGTCACAAGGACCACCGGCTCAGACCATTTTTCTTGTAATCAGCATCTATGCAATTAGTGATGGCATAGAATCATATTTATTCCCAAGTCCTGCAAGAATATAAACAAGGAATCAGAATTTGAATGGGTTATTTCAATTCCAACTGTTTGGATGAAGGAAATAGAAATCTCATTCTCATTCCTGCTGAAATGGCTATTCCCTCTCTCTTGGGAATGAAATCTCATTTCTACTGATTTTAATTCTCATTCTCATTTTTGTCTGAACCAAATAGATAATGAGAATAAACCATTTTAATTTCCATTCTAATTCCAACTGCAAACCAAACAGACCCAATAACCAGATCTACATTAAGGATCGACTGGTTTAGAGACCATTGAGCTATCAGCAATGGACTTTACATGGTGAATATATATTGTTATAGATGAGTGAACCTTCCTTCGTGTTTAATATATTCGGAGTTGTCACCTTAACTGTAATATTCTTGACTAATAATGGTCAAACCTGCTATAGCTTCTTATTTCATTTGCATTTCTGGCATCCTGAACACAACAATCGGTTTTTCAGATTTTCACCAAAGACAGCTTTTGGAATTCCGAGGTGGGGCCCATCTCTAAATGTCAGAAGCCACGTCCCCAATGCCTCCCAAATGGGGCACTTATTGGGAACTCTACTGAACCAATATACATGTTTACCAAAAAGAGTACAACAATGGTAATCCCTCCAATGCAATCTTGTTGAGTGTTGATCTCGATACCATTAAGAATAAATAGTTCTCTAATCTCAACTGACAATTTAGATGACAATTTTACTCATAAAACAAGAGCCCTGCCCCATCCGTTTCCTGATCTTAAATGGGCACGGGGCGGGGACTTGCAAGGAAAATATTTTTGTCTTGAAGCGAGGATGGGGTAGGGACGAGGTTTGCATATAATTCTTCATACCCGCTTTAAATTTAATAATAAATTAGTAAAATATCTTTGAATTTCCTCTAAATTCTTAAAATCTTAGGATACCATAATTCCATTTCTAAAATACCCCCAAATTTGCATGATTGTATTTTTAAAATACCCTCAAATTAAATGTATTTTTAGGTGATTGCCATAAGTTGAAAAAAATTTCAAATTTCCCCATACTCGATAGGGAGTGGACCACTAGGGATGGGACGGCGATGGGGGGTATTAAAGAATAAAAACTTAGGCTTTTAGATTGAACTGTCCTTGAAATTACCCACCTCTAAAATTAAAGTTAGAGGATGGAATATCTCTTGAATCTAGATGAGGAGTGAGAAAAAAGTGTATGAAGCGGCAAGGTGGATTCTCAATTGTCAACAAAAGAAGTTGAACAATAGTATAAGAGCATTGCTTTCAAGTATGATTTGAGAAGAGTCCATATGAGAAGCAAAAGAGAGGCCTTCGTAAAAAGCTCTAGCTTTAGACACTGGGAGCATCATATATATGGAAGTAGCTAGCTTAATAGCTCTAGGATATAGAGAAGAGCCCAAATCCTCACCACCTTGTTGCTATTGGAATATTGTCAATCAACAATATTGTCTTTTCTGATAAATTCCATGTCATCGGCTCCAATCCTCACCACCTTGCTGTCCAATGCTCCAATTTGGTGTCTCTCCCTCTCCTCTTACAACCCAAACCTCCATGGCAATTTGTGTTTAAAATATTTGCTTTACTCTGTCCCATACTCCATTGTTGATCAAATCATCAAACTGAAACAGTAAGAGTTCAAGTGAGGAAAAATAACTTTCTGAATTGGTGATTCTTTATGATTGTATAGAGTATTTATACTTGTTTACATTGAGATAACAAAGCATACAAGTGTCAATGTACAGTAAGAGTTATAATACAAATAAATTTGTGCACAAGTTACGAGAGTCATGCTTATCATCCCCCCCCCCAAGTTGATGGGAAGAGGAGTTACAGTCAACTTGTGCCGAAGAGCAATGAACCTAGGTGAAGTTAGAGGCTTTGTGAAAACATCGACAATCTGGTCTTGTGAAGAGATGAACTGAACCAATAGAGCACGCTTATAGACTTGCTATCTCTCACAAAGAGAGATATATCCAGATTAGTAAATACTGAGCGCAACCAAAGTAACTTGGTAACAGTACTAGCAATGCTACAGCACTCCGACTCAGTGCTGGAATGAGAGACTATAGATTGCTTACAAGAAGACCAAGAGATGGGATTTGGACCTATATATATATATATAATACACCATGAGAATGCCTATCATCTGGGCAGCCAACCCAATCAGCATCAGAGAAAACTTGAAGACGTAGAGAGGTAGAGGGACAAAGTAGAAGTCCATAGTCCACAATGGACTTGAGGCAGCGCAACAAACGCTTAACAGCAACCCAATGTTCTATGGTGGGAAAATGAAGGAATTGACAAATTTTATTGATTGAATAGGCAATATCTCGGCAAGTCCTGATGAGATATTGTAGAGCACCCACAATGATTCAAAATTCAACCGGATCAGCTAGAGGATCACCACTTGTTTTGCTAAGTTTACAACATGGAGGCATGGGACTAGAGACCGGATGGAAGATCATTTAAGCAAGTAAGTGATGTAAAAGACCAAGATCCTTTATAGCAAAGACCATCACTAAGATGCTTGATGAGAGAGGCAATTGTAGAAGGTTGGGAACCCATAATGATGATGTCATCAATGTAGACAAGGGCAAGGAGGGTCTCGGTGGGCATGTGCTTAATAAATAGTGAGAAATCAGTCTTAGAGGAGTGAAAGCCAATGCTTAAGAGAAATGAACTTAACTTATGATACCATTCTCTAGGTGCCTGTTTAAGCCCATAAAGTGGTTTCTTGAGACGGCAAACATAATGTGGATATTGTGGGTGAGTAAAGCTAGGAGGTTGTTTCATATATATAGTGTTAGTGAGATCGCCATGGAGAAATGCATTTTATATATCAAATTGCCTGAGATCCCATCCTTTTGAGAAAGCTAGAGAGAGAACTACTCACACTGTTGTGGGTTTAACAACTGTGCTGAAGGTCTCTGAATAGTCAAGACCTACACGATGAAACCCTTTAGATACAAGGCGTGCCTTGTGGCGTTCAATAGATCCATCTGTCCTGTATTTGGTTTTAAACCCATTTGCATCTTGTTAAGTTCATGTTGGGAGAAGGAGGCACTAATTCCCAAGTATCATTGTGAAGCAATGTGGTTGTTGGCTTCAGTAAAGCAAGAGGATTCAACAAAACTCATAGTCAAGGGATGAGCAAAAGCCAAGAATGACTTGGGCTTGAAAACACCAGCCTTAGCTCGAGTAATCATAGGGTGAGCATTCACAGGTACAATAGGCATAGGCAAGGGAGGGGTAGAGGAATCAGCATTAACAGTGGATGGTGGCAATGGTACAATTGAGGATTCATCATGAGATGGTGGATGGGGAGTTATAGTGGACCCATGTGTTGAAGTGGCTTGCACAAGTGATCTTGTTGTAGTGAGCTTGAACAAGTAGGTGGAACCATAAGAGGCTGCAGATGGCAATTCTTCTGAGGCAATGACTGAACAATTGGAGGTGGCCCAGCACCTAAAGAAACAGGTCCTGATGGTTGGGATGATGCCAGACGTTCTGTCTTGTATGGATAAGTATTTTCATCAAATTGAACATGCCGAGTTATGAATACTCGTTGAGTGGATAAATGCATGCACTTGTAGCCTTTATATTCATCATAGCAGCCTAGAAAGAGACAAGGTGCCGAGCGAAACTCCAATTTGTTAGATGTATAAGGACAAAGCAATGGGAAGCACAAGCACCCAAATGTTTTAAGCATGGAGTAATCAGGTAGTGATCCATGTAACATGGTCCATGGTGACTGCATGTTAAGAATAGGTGTAGACAATCTGTTGGCAAGGAATACCGCTATATGAAAGGCTTCCCATCAAAACTCATGGAGAAGCGAGGAACGGCCTAAAAGTGTAAGGCCCATTTCCACCTCTTGGCGATGGTGACTCTCAGTTGCACCATTTTGCTCTTGCGTATGCGGACAAGAAAGGCGATGTTGAATGCCATAGTGGGAGAGAAGTGGTTTAAGCTTCTGATATTCACCTCCGCCATCGGATTGCAAACATTTAATTGTGGTACCAAATTGATTTTCAACCAGTTTCTTGAATTTAATAAAAATTGGAAGAGAATCATACTTGTTGAACATGGGATATATCCACTGATATTTACTGA